GACTCATAGTGATCCCCCTGTTTACAGCCTTCCAAGAGCTGGGACTAAAGGCACATGCCACCTCGCTCAGACTCAATTGCCATCTCAGACTGCCCCAGAGGCAGGGCCAGCACTGCAGGCCCGGGGACTGAACACAGGCCCCTGCCCCTGCTTTCAGGTGCTTTAATCCTCTGAGCTATTTGGCTGGCCCTAAAAAGCAGGATTTTAATGGTTCTTCTACAATGAGCTCAAACATTGTAGAACACAAGGGGTCAAATGAGAACCCTCAGCTTGCTTGATGAAATTGGTGAGGGCTGGAGAAGACTCAGTGATAGAGCACTTGGCCAAGAAACGCAAGGTCTGAGTTCAGTTCCCAGCACTTAGGAAGACTAGGAGGAAATGAGTGGTCAAAGTTCTGACGACCTTTCCCCAAATTCCCCTACAGGCAGCAGCGATACAGGAGTAGACTGCAGGGTTGAGCATGCCTGCAAGGACATTCTCTAGGCCCTGGGGAACCTGTTAGACATTCAGAGAAGAGGAGTGAGAGTGACATCTTTGTCTTGTCTCTTAGAAAGATGCTTTTGTCTCCTACAGAGAATAGCATGAAGGAGTGGAAAATCTGCATATAAAACTGTGGCGTACGAGACAGGGAAACACAATATTCTAGAGTCTCAACTAAAGAACTCAAAGGAAACTATATTGCCAGACATCTTGCAGTGAATTTTTCACAGTTCTGTTCCTCTCTTCTTTTCTCCTGCCCATTTTGTTGTTCTAATTAATTAAATTTCTTGATATTTCATTTTATTTTATTGTTTGTTTGTTTGTTTGTTTGTTTGTTTTTGATGGAACCAGGGATGGAACTCAGGCCTTTGCACTTGCCAGGGAAGCGCTTATTCCACTGAGCCATCTCCCCGGCCCCTCTCTGTACATTTGAGATATATATCATGATACATTCGCCATATGGTTTCATTTATTGTTGAGGGAAGATCCTGCTAAGTGCCCAAGTGATCTTGCCCTTATGTCCTCCTGCCTCAGCTAGCTGCCCACCTTAAAGCAAATTTAGCAGATGTCTGATGGTAGAAAAAGGCAGTGGAGAAGTGGCTGCGCTTGTCCATGTTGACCTCCAAGTCTGCCATGAGAGCAGCCACAGCACCTCAGAGACAGCAGGCCGCCCCCAGGAAGAGGATGGATTTTTTTTGTGTGCACATTAAGTTGATAATAGCCTAGTCCTGTGACCCACATGGGTACACATAGAAACATTCAGGTGTTACTAGACAATGGAGCTCAACAAATAATACTCCCTCAAATAATATTTCAAGGACAATTAGCTATTTAAAACAAATATGTATATTCAAAAGCCTCAAAACTGGCAGGTGTGGCTGGAAAGATTCCTGCCTCATCTGGCCATCAGTGGGACTGGAGCACCTGCAGGGGCAGGTGGTCTTCCTGTGAGAGGCTCCTCCTCGAGTTGAGTGGCCAGGCCAGGTGTTTTCACAATGCCTGTGAATGGGATGAGAAACACTGTCGTTTGCCTCTTGGGAGGGACCAGGGCCATGAAAACCCATCACACCAGCGCATGGCAGGTGATCCTGGAGTCCTACAACCCCTCTCCCTGCTTTCCTCCTTCCAGGAGCATTTCCCAAACCGCTGTCTGTGCCCGTTGTGGATTCCCCCCTAAAGCTTACAAGTCCCCACAGGTGACCAGCTATGTACCAGAAACCAGAAAATCTGAAAATGTTGAAAACAGTAGACAAATAAATTAGATACTCAGAGAATGCAGAGCTCACAAAGGACCCATCCTGAAGGGAACGTGACAGATTTGGACACCAGAGGGGAAAAAGTACAATTCCAGCAGGGACAAGAACCAAGGGTTATTGCAGCCCTGAGGAGTGAGGAGTGGATTGAACAGAAGGTGGGCCTTGACCTCCACACTTGAAAGCCTGGCCCCCTGGGCCACAGGAGCTCTAGGCCTTGAAAAGTTCTTGTCTACACTAATAATAGGAGTGGGATAATCCTGGGGCAGATAAATGTCTGAAGGTCAGGGAGAGCTGGGCGTGGTTACACATGCCTTAGGTCCTAGCACTCCAGAGCTCCAGCCAGGAGGATGTTTTTTAGTTCTAGGCCTACCTGGGCTCCTAGTGAGTTCAAGGCCAACATTGTCAACAAAGTAAGACCCTGTCTCAAAAACACAAGAGAAAGTGTTGGATGTGGTGGTGCGCACTTACACTCCCAGCACTTGGGAGGCTGAACCAGAACTCCTACAAATTTGAGTTCTAGCCCAGGCAGCATAGTGAGCTCAAGGCTACACTGGACTACACAGCAAAACACTTTTTCAAAAAAAAAAAAAAAAAAAACACAAGAAAAAAGACTAACAGCAGGTCAAGGTGAAGACACCCTTCAGTAAAAACCTGGAGAAATGAGGGGCACCAAGACAGAGATGGGTAACTGCCTAAGTTACACAACACCAGGAGAGACAGCCAATAAAGGGGGCAAGCAGAATGCCTTCCCGCCTTGGTGTGGCCAGATGGCATTGTTGTAGGCAGCTGAATTAAATAGAAATATTATAGGCAGTCAAACAGGGCCAGGCCCTCAAGGAGACAAGATGGAAGACAAGGTGACTTTGCAACTTGGAAGAGACAGATGCACCCCTGTGGGCCAGACCTTAACACAAAAGAGGAAACACACAGCTACATACTTCCCTAGGGATGGGCATCAGGGATTGATATTCTATATAGGTGTCAATCACCTTGAAAAAGCCCCAATGAGTCACTAGCCCAATCTCAACAGGAAGAGACCCTGTCCCATAGTCATGCCCTCTTGCTACATGACTTGCTTCCCCATTTGGTACTGGATTGAATCAATCTTACCTGAGCAATAGTGCTTGTAATCTCATTGGTTGACCATAGTTTTGTCCCACCTCATGCCCACCTAAGCAAGTTCCCATGTCTTCTCCACCACCTTAGACCCACCTCACCACGTGGTTTTCCTCTATAAAAGTCACTGGAAGAGACAGCTTCCTGTGGACAACCTGCTTGGGCCTCCCTTCTGTCCCTCAGACAGGAGCTTTCTTTCCCTCAATAAATATATTCTGCTCATAACCTCCATTTGTTCCTAAAATTTGTTCTTCAGTTTTAGAGAACATGAATTTGTTCCAGGTATCTTTTAGGCTGGGAGATCAGGTTTTTTTCCCTGTGTCATTTGGAGGTTTCCTTGTATCAGCATTACTACAGGTTCCCTAGTAGGGCAGCCCATGGCATTGACAGCAGCCCTCAAGTTGTGGGGTTGAAGCATGGGGGCAAGGTGAAGGACAAGGTGATCCTCAGTCTTGGCTTTGAATGAAAGAGAGGAAGACAGGAAGATGGTAGGAAGCTGTCGGGATAAGAAGGATTTAAAATAGAGATGTGCAGAATGACCTGCAGGGCATGTGGGAAGAGAAACAGGAAAACGGAACTGCAACAGAAGAGGGAGTAACCAGGAACACCTGAAGCTCCTCAAGGTCATCCTGCTTTTGTGTCTTTGCTCCCAGATGCCTAGCACATTCTCGGGATCTTAAGCACACACCATAAGAGCTTGTTTTGTGAACCAAGAGTAACCTAAAGGCTGAGACTTGATAGATATCAAAGGTGGCACGGCAGCCTTTTGCTTGAGCCCCACTTTGCTTGCATAGAATGTCCATGGGTCTTTGTGGCCAGTGCCAGTGAGTCTTTCCCAGCAGAAAGTAAACATTTTAGGTATGAGGACGAAGAGTGGAAAAATCAGCGGGCTATAAGCAAAGTTGGCCATGAACCGCTGTAAAGCAGAGCATATAGGCAATTCAAGAGGGACTTTAGGATTGGGGAATTTAGGGGCCACAGGCATGAGCAGGTGACATTTGTCAGGAAACAGAGAAAAGAGAAGAAGAGAGCCAGTGGAAGACAAGGTGGATGCTCTTAAGTGTTTTAGCAGAAAAGGGTAGGCTTCCTGGCCTAGTGGCTCAGGCTTGGGATCACTGTACTCAGGAAGCTCAGGCAGGAGCTCAGCTCAGGAAGCTCACGGCTGTGAATTCAAAGCCAGATTGGGCTACACAGTGAATTCAAGTCAAAACTGAAGTACACAGTGAGACCCTGTCTCAAAAATATGAGAAAAATAAAAAAGGGCAGCCTATGGAGAGGGCTACTCTTTGAAATAGGTACATGAGGTGACCACAAGGAGTACATCTTGGTGGACAAAGCTGTGGGGAACAGGAAGGCCATCCTGTCTGTCACAGCCCAGACTTGAGGAGAGGCACAAGAAGTGGTTTCACTATGTGGAGGGACTGGAGTCTGGTGTAATGGAGGAAACTCAGGATCAACAAGGCTGGCCTGTAAGGCAGTACCCACAGGGCCCAAAGAGATGTCACCTGTTTTGAGAGTCAGCCTTTCCTACCTTGCTGCCCTGCTGGGTCCCCTGGCTTAGCCCAAGTCTGGCAGTGGATGGACCCTGAGTGAGTAAATGGGAGGGAGCTGCCTGCCACTCAGGCAGGGGAGAGCTTGACAGGAGGAAGCCAGTGGGAGTCAGGGAGAAGGCTGTGCTGAGGCCTCCTCCCACCCTAGACTTGGCAGGACCCTGAGGCACAGCAGACGCCCAGCAGCTACTCACCAGGAATTCCTTGCCCTGTGGGGTCCTCACACACTGTGGGCAGTGTCTGTTCCCATGCAGCCCTGTTCACTTCCTCTACCCTGTGGACAATGAAGCAGCTTTGAAGGTCTGGGGAGCAACCAGCCTAGCTTACCTCACCCTAGAGAGTCTAGGCCTCTACTTTTGTCAATGAACTGTGCAGATACCCTAGTGGGCACAGGGATAGTGAGAAGACAAGACTTCTCGGTCTTCCTCTGTGGACACTGGGCCACCATACTCCACCAAAAGCCTGTTCCCTCTGGGCTGTTCACAGCAGCCTGGATTACCTCGAACAACCAGAGAAGAGGACCCAAGATCAGGCCCATTCTGGTGCTCTGGCTGGGAAGGCCATCTAATGCCTATTAATTAGTACAAAACCCTCATTCCCTCTTCCCACTCAACTGCTTCCTCATAACCCAGTGCTTCTGACTGGGTGGGTGTCACCAGCTTCCCTCTCCTAGCACCCAGCTGTTCCTGAGCAGGGAAGAGCCTACTCTGCATGGAAGGGCTTACACCTCCAACATCAGGCTGGAAGAATTGGAGGTTGGGGCACAGCCAGGGCCAAGCCAAGGAGGAGTCATCACCTGGGAGGAACCTTCAGTGTAAGCCACTGAGACCATCAGATGGGCAGACCCAAGAAGTGGCCACCGCAGGCTGTGAAATTCCATATTGCTAACCTCCCTTGCCTACAAGGATCTCCCCGGCACTCCTCAGCCTTGCCTCTATCACAGACCTGGCTTCTAGCAGCCATCTCCAAGCTCTGAGGGGAACGAGGCTGGCCTGCCCTGGAGACAGGCCCCAGGGATTCCTGGCTCAGCAAGGCCTCTGCCCACCTGGCTCACCTGAAGCACCAGCGCTCGTTGGGGCTTCCATCTGGCCTAGTGCCCAGTGTCAGCAGAACACCTGGCTGTTGCTTCTTCCTCCTGAAGCACCAGTAGCCATTTTCCATCTCCAAGACACAGATGGCTTTCTAGGGACAGAGGGTGCATCAGACAGAGCAGTGAAGGAGCCTGCCTGAAGGAAGAGGCACACAGGGCAAGGGGAACAAGAAAACACCCCCCAGGACTCTAGACCATGACTCAAAGTGCACTCCGCATGTGGACGCAGGCCAGCCCTAACATCTGATCATCTGTATGGTGTAGACCCCTGAATCTCTGAATTTCAGTTTCCCTATTTGTAGACAGATATTGCAAGCCAAATGGTAATTGGAAGTTCAGCACACAACTAGTGCTGGACTACAACCTGCTCTTCAATCTATTCAGGCCCCAGAACTCTGCACCATCATGGAGAGAACTTCATGGGCTCTACCTGCACGTAGGCCTGGGGCTTGCACACAGGTCCCAAGGAGTGCACTGTTTGAAGATGAGGCCAGCAAGGCTCAGAGACACAAGGACATTGCTGAAGGCTCCAAGGAGCTGGCCACCTCATCAGCCTCCCAGGGGATGCTGTCCCTGCTCCAGCTGCCTAGTAACCACTTGATCCTTCGTTGGGCAAGATGAAGCTAGTGCTTCCACTCTAGGTGGGTGTCAGCTCAGTGACCCTGGTCTTCCAGGCTGGGCCAGCCCTGGCATTTTACACCCTGACTGCCTTCCTCACCTTGGAGGACTTTTTGTTATGTATGAGGAGGACAGAATTGGTGTCCCATGAGGGCAGGGAAGGGCTTTTTCTTATGTACCACCTAAAACTGTGCCTGGATGATACACAGAAAGTACACAATGCCAGGCACACTGCCATGTGAATCTCTGGAGGCTGAGGCAAAAGGATTACAAGTTCAAGTCTAGCCTTGGCAATTTAGTAAGTCCCTGTCTCCAAAAATGAAAAGAGCACCGCACTCTTTCCCTTCCGTCTGCAGTATCCCTCCCCTGCAAGAAGAGGAAATACTTAATAACACTAATGCCACTGTTCTGGCCCTGCCCCGACCCCAGGGAACAATGAGATATAGATTGAGACTGGGTATGGTGGCATGCACCTGTAATCCCAGCTCTTGGGAGGCTGTAAACAGGCAGATCACTACAAGTCCAATCTAGTAGTGAGACCCTGAACACTCTGTAGAACGTTCCCTAAAAAAATACCAAAACAAAAAACAATAATGCCAAAGATATAAATAACTAACAGTGTACACCTATTATGTGGTAGGCACTATGCTGGGCACGTCACAAGCAGGAGCACACCCAATTTTCACAACCACCCTAAGAAAGAAGGAATAGGTAGAGGAGTCTGTGGAGTGGTCCTGCTGAGCTGAGCCAACCCCATGGGTTCCCAGGCCCAGGCCCTGGTGTGGGCTGAGCACCCCAGAGAGCTGAGCATGCTCCTCACACCCAGAAGGCAGAGGGAGAAGGGGAGAAGCCACATTGTGCACCTGCAGGTTCCAAATGCTCTGGCGGTCAGTGGCAACATGGTTGACAGTTTCCCTCACGAGGGCGATGAGCATTTTGAGCAGCAGGACATAGGTGAGCACAACATAGGCCAGTTGCAGGAAGAGAACTACCCCAGGGAAGCGCAGTTTCTCCTGAAAGGCTAGCTCGCCGTTGCCAATGGTGAACTTCAAGAGATCCAATGTAGCAACCAGGATGTTCCTATAAAGGGCCACCTTGTCCTTCTGTTCCAACCCAGGCTGTGAGGTCTCTGTGTCACTGATGCTTGCAGGGTGTTTGGACACCTGGGCTTTCTGGCTGAGGCTCACCAGGCCTGTGGAAGGACAGAGATGTTACTCAACCAGTGGGACCAACAGCAGCCTTGAGGGTATATGTAGTAGGGAGGGGATAAGCAGAGGCCTGAGAGAGGCTTTACCTATAGCGAAGCTGAAAAGGAAGACTGTGAAGACCAGCAGGAAGTGGGGAAGATCCCTCCAGAAAACCTGGAATATACAGAACATGAGCTGGGCTGGGTGCTGGGTACCATACACGACCCCAGACCCAGAACTGAGTACAATTCCCATTGTGCAGCCATACATGTATAAGGTGCTTACAGTGAATGTTTAAGGTTTTGAAAAAAAAACTATTATAATTAAAAATACATTACCATTAATCTCCTTGAAATTCCTGTCCCTTACTTTCAACACACATATCCAGTTGTTCTTGCCACTGTCTGAATCAGTCATGGAAATCTTTTGTGAGTGGCTTTATAAGGTGTGACAAAAAAAAAAAAATACTGTGAATGCTACTGCCAAAGAGCATGTAACAGATGGCCTTGGTGGCACGCCTGCAATCACAGCACTGGGGAGGCTGAGGCAGCAGGCTTTGGGACGTTCTTGGCCAGCCTAGACTATACAGTGAGCTCAAAGCTGACCTGAACTACAGAGCAGGACCCTGCCTCCAAAACACAGAAGGTGCGTCCAGCAGGAAGCCAGGCTTCTAAAAATGGTATAGGGTGCCATCATCAAGCATTTTTCACCCGATCGGGAACCGTGTGCCTGCTGGCTCTCACACAAAATAACTGCTACAGGGAATTTTTAAAATTTATGTAGCGCACTGAAAACAGATACTCTTACCTTGGTGGCCCACCCCTGTAATCCTAGCATTTAGGAGGCTGTGGCAGGAGGATCATTGCAAATTTGATGCTAGCCTGAAATTCGTATTAAGGGGCTGGGGAGATAGCTCAGTAGAATAAGCGCTTGCCTGGCAAGTGCAAGGAACTGAGTTCAATCCCTCATTCCACAAAAAAAAGAAAAGAAATTCATATTAAGCTTATGGCCAGGCTCAACTACAAAATGAGAACTTATCTCAAAAGAAAACAGGGCCAGGGAGGTAGCTCAGTAGAATAAGTGCTTGCCTGGCAAGTGCAAGGGCCTGAGTTCAATCCCAGGTTCTGCCAAAAAAAACTAAAAAAAAACAATTGTGAATGCAATCATCTGTTTTTCTTTCCTGTTCTAAAAAAAAAAAAAAAAAAAAAAAAAAAAGTAAAACAAAGGTCTAGTTTTTCTTTGAGACATGGTCTTCCTATGAACTTGAAGCTGGCCTCAAAATTTGCAGCAGTGCTCCTACGTCAGGCTCCTGTGGGCTAGGCTCTTGAGGCCTCCTCATGGACAAACATCTGACCCCTACTGCCACCTTCCTCTCCTCCACTCTGCCTCACTATCCCCAGCTACTTGGCCTCTTGGCTCTGTCTGCCCCATGCTCAGTTGTCCTGGATGATGATCTTCACCTTGGTTTCCTGTGGAGGATGCTTCCTCCTGGCCTGTGACCTTCACTCTGAGCATCAGTCATTCCTTCCATCTCCACTTAGACATCACCTCTTTGGGAGGCTTTTCCTCTCCAAGCACCCTCTACCTCATTTGGCCTCCATCACACTATCCATCTGTTATCCTTTGTAGATTTCAGCAGTGGCACTGTTGTCATTTATTCACTGAGTGTTTTTGTTTACCCCCCAGATATCAGCCTGAGGAGAGCAAGCACGCGTCTCATGCTCACTGTAGTTATTACCAACACTCACAACAGGGCCTGAGGGTCCCTGTTCCTCCTCTAGCCTCAGGTTCATCAGCTGAACACAGCCAGGAGGCCGGGTGGCCGCTGCAGCTTCCTGGCCACTGCCTGCCCCAGCAAGGGCTGCTGCTGGCCTACCATGGGCACTCGTTGAACATTTGCAGATTAAATGGGTAGGTGCTCATGCCCTCGTGTCTGGGGCACAGGCATGCAAATAAGCATATCTTCTGCTTCCCTGTGAAGAAGGGAGCTCACAGAAGCACGTGCTCCTGTGTCTGTGAGTCTGTGTCTGTGTGTCCATCTACACCATGTAGTGCTTGCATGAGCATCTGGGTGAGTGGCAGGCAGCAGGTGAGCTCATGCCCTCCTCTGCCCAGCTTGGCCATGGAGGAAGACTCCTGCTTCCTGGGGACAAATGGAGCCACTCAGGGCTGTGGGGTCCAGCTCAACCCCTCTCCATCTCTTACCTTCTGGATTATGGTGCTGTAGATGCCTGCGTACTGGAAGCCTCGTGAATAGTAAAGCAGGTTCAGCCAGCCCAGCACCAGCGAGGACACAAGCAGGGGCAGGTACCACTCAATGGCCATGAAACACAAGACCCAGGATAGCACTGTGAGCAGGGCCTGGAACAGGCTGTATGGGGCAGGGTTCCAGTCAGCTTCCAGGCCACAGTTGCCAGTACCCCCAAACTCCTGCTGGCCAGCACAAGTCATCCCTGCAGCTCCCATGATGGCTTGAAATGTCCTGCCTTTGGGATTGAACCAAAGCACAGCTGGACAAATTATTCAACCTTTGTGGGCCTCAGTTCCCTCTCCTATACAACAGGCATAACAACAGTGACCCCTGGATCCCAGTGCCTTCAGGATTATGGGAGAGGACTACATGCAATGTGTCAAGGCTCCACAGGTGTGCCGTGAGTGCTTGGTAAAGGCAGGCTTTGCAATCATGAGACACTGTCACAAGAGTGGGACAAAATCCCAGCTGGATAGCAGCCAGGAGTGTAGGTGTGGCCAGTGCTCAGGTCCTCACCCTCTGGAACACGCTGGCCCCTGTGTTACTTCCTCTGAAGCCACCTTGGTGCCATCCTCCACACCCACCTCCCAGGCCTCAGAGACAGTGGGGAGGAGAAATGGGAGCCCACATACAAGAGGATTTCAAAGTAGCCGTCCACAAATGAGATCCAGATGAACAGACGCCGCCGCCAGAAGAACCATAGCTGTGGAGCAGGAGGACAAGGGTGTGAAACTTGCTCTCAACACAAGAGCAGCCCGGCTGTCCCTCAGGGTCCCTGCTCACCCAAAGACCCCGGCCGCTGGCCTGCCTCCATGACGACTGGTCAACACCATGTTGGAGTTAAGACAGCAGCTTTGACTTTGGGGAGCTCCTCAATCCTGCCAACAGCTGAGATGGCTATGGACTTCTTTCCAAAAGGACTTGTTGGGCTGGGCATGCATGAGGCCCTGAGGTCTATCCCCAGTACAAAGGAGGCCAAAAGCCACCCGCCACAGGGACCCAGACAATGCTGGGGCCTCCTGGACCCCATAGAATCAATGAAGAGCCCATATACTGCATACAGCTCCTTTCCTCCTCTTCCTCTGCTTTGCCTCCTGGAGAGCTTACTGGGCTCTAGCCAAGCTAAGGGTGGGACCTAAGTCCTGCCTACTCAGTATGATGGTGTCCAGCCTGCCTCTCTCAAGATTCCAACATTTCCACCTGGGGATGCTCTGCTGATGGAGTTGGGCTGATTCCCCCTTTTGTCAGGCTTCTGAGTCCCAAGTGAAGAAAGCCAGCATGGGCTGGGATATGGGCTTCTGGCTAGATTTTCAGGAAAGCAGAGCGAGATTGGCAAAGAGTCAGAGAACCCATCTGCTACCCCAGGGGTGTCCCAGAAGGCACAGAAGGGAGGGTACCCAAGCCCAGAAACTCAGGCCAGAGCCTGTGATCTCCAGGGCTGGTTGGATCGGGCTGGGTATCAGAGGCGGTTTCCCCACCTCAAGGGTCTTTCCTAACTCCCTGCTCTGTAGCAGAATCCTAAGTGTCCTTCTTGGTTTATGGGAACCACGTAGGGTGGGGAAAGGGAGAGAAGCCCTTACCTGGCCAAGGAGGAGGTGGATCCCCCCAAGGAGGATCAAGGTGTGGCCCAGCAGCAGCATGGGGTTTCTGGGCAACAAATCAAAACGAAAGCCCTGCTTGAGACAGATAAGATAAACACTCAGATAAGACCTAGGCTCTCAGGTCCTCTCTGCAGTAGGTAGGACCCCAGCTGAGGCCTAGGCGGAGCCTACACTATGGAGCAGCAGAAGGACCATGGTATCTGGGGAAAGAGTTCCTGGATTCTGCTGCCTTGGGAGGCACACTGTGCTTTGGTTATCAACATGGGGCGTAGAGCCAGACTGCCTGGGTTCAGATCCTGACTCCACCACTCAGTGTGTGTGTGTGTGTGTGTGTGTGTGTGTGTGTGTGTG